GTGTGTGTGTGTGTGTGTGAGAGAGTGTGTGTCTGTGTGTGTGTGTGTGTGAGAGAGAGAGAGTGTGTGTGTGTGTGTGTGTATGTGTCTGTGTGTGTGTGTGTGTGTGTCTGTGTGAGTGTGTGTGTGTGTGTGTGTCTGTGTGTGTGTGAGTGTGTGTGTGAGAGCTGCTGGCTCCAAACCTCAATCGAGGTGGCATCACCGTGCCACAAGGCTGCCACTCAGTTAAAACCTATGGTGTGGTGCTAATGCCGCAGCAATGGCCGTTTGTGTAAGACAACCAGGAGAGCTGTCTGTGTTGATTGATCCTTGCCTCACTGCTCTAGCGGTGTCTAACTCTTCCCGTGGAGCTGCTGGCCAGACATTGATGCCATTTTCCTGGTACCGTACTTAAACCGATGGGGATGTTGGGACAGTTCTCTGAATTAGCCACTTCCAGAATGTGGCATCTCTGGTCAAGCCATCATTTATTGCCCATCCCTAATTACCCAGGGGGCAGTTAAGAGTCAACCATTTTGCTGTGGGTCTGGACTCCCATGTAAGCTGGATCAGGTAAGGACAGCAGATTTCCTTCCCTAAAGGACATTAGACAGGGGTTGACAATTGACAGTGGATTCATGCTCATCGTTAGACTCTGAATTCCAGACTTCTTTCTCATTGCATTCAAATTCCACCATCTGCCGTGGCAAGATTCGAACCTGGGTCCCCAGAACATCAGTTAAGCCTCTGGGTTAATAGTCTAATGGCAATATCATTCCGTTTCAGGCTTCTACCAGCAATTAACTTTGTTTTTTTTTATAGCTCGCATGTCATCCTAGCCGTATCCTACCCTTCCAAATAACTTGCAAAAATCCACCCAGTTAGGATTTCGATCTGGGAGTCTATTAGCTCACGGGAAACGAGGGGATAATCCTTCGGGGATCAGCGATCTCCAAACCCAAATTCACAGAGTCACGCATTTGTAAAATCTAACTGGATATCTTACCTTAGCATCTAGTCGTTGTAGATAAGACCACAGGTATTCAATGTTGGCTCCAAATGGATGGACATGAAGGAAAGTTGAAATAATACCTGTTTTAGAAAAGCATATGCTTATTTTTGAGCTTCTGTTGCCCTCCTTTACAACAGACTTTACCATGCAGCAAATAAATTCTTAGGTGACCAATCACAAGCTGAATAGAGGTTTTCGAGGAAGTGACAATCAAGACGGATAAAGGGGTACAGGTAGATGTGGTGGGTGTGGATTTCCTAAACACATTTGGAAAGGTACCACACAGAACCACCCCCCCCCCCACAGTGTGGAAACGGGCCCTTCAGCCCAACAAGTCCACTCCGACCCTCAGAGCATCCCACCCAGACCCATTCCCCAAACCCACCTAATCTACACAGCCCTGAACACCAGGGGCAATTTAGCATGGCCAATTCACCCTAACCTGCACATCTTTGGACTGGGGGAGGAAACCGGAGCGCCCAGAGTAAACCCACGCAGACACGGGGAGAATGTGCAAACTCCACACAGACAGTCACCCAAGGGTGGAATCGAACCCAGGTCCCTGGCGCCTTGAGGGCGCAGCGCCAACCACTGAGCCACCATGCCGCCCCACTGAAAGCCAATCTTTGTAATCCTCTCTCCCCCTTACCTTTTGTCCAGCTTCCCCTTCAATCTAATTTTCTAATCAACCTGTTCAGAGACGTTCTTATACACTTCTGGAGCAGGCGAGATTTGAACTCCTGCTCCAGGGATAAGGGCACTACCACTGAGCCACAAGAGGGCCCCCACAGCAGTGAAAGGCTGCTACCTGAGAAAAGAGCTCAGAATGTAGGTGGCACCATTTTAATTTGGACAAAGGATGAGATTGCCCAGATGGAAGCGGGAGCAAAGATAGATGGATTATTTTTCAGGTTGGGGAAAGATATGATGAGTGGAACAGAAGGGATCGGTGCAGTGGGCCTCCACTATTAACAGTCAATATCAATGGCATGGATGAAGGCCAGATGCATGACAGTTAAATTTATCAGTGACACCAAGATAGGCTGAAAAGGAAGGTGCTGACAAGACTGAGATTAAGAAACATAGGTTGTGTGAATGGGCACAGAAAATTGGCAGATGGAGATTAATGTGCGAAAATGTGAACTTTGGCAGGAAGAATAAAAAAGCAGCACGTAGAAGGAGTTCAGAGAAGGTGCACCTCATGTCTGCGATGAGGGTGTTATGCTATAATGCTGAGCTGAGTGGACCTGAACCCATTAGCCTTTAGAAGAACGAGAGGTGATCTGATTGAAACATATAAGATCCTAATGGGACTGGACGGAATGGATACTGGGAACATGTTTCCTTTTAATGGGGAATACTGGAACTGGAGTGGGGGGTGGGGTGGCATAATTTAAGAAGAGGAGAGCTCCCTTTTAAAACGGGCAGGAGGAGATTATTTTTGACTCTTATAGGGGTTATACGTCTGTGGAGTTCTTGTTTCCAGAAAGCATGGGATCACTGCATTCATTCAAAGATGAGGTAGCTAGATTTTTGACAGACACAGGAGACAAGGGTCCTTTGGGGGGGGGAGGGGGTCAGATATGTAGGTGGTGTTCAGACTAAAACCACATCACCCATGATCTTATTGATTGGGTGTTACAGGCTCAAAAGGGCTGAATGGCCTACTTCTCCTAAATCCTACGTTCCTGTGAATTGACATATATCTAAGTGCGGTATTCCACCAACACAGACACTTCAAGTTTTCCTCAATTCATCACATAATGGAGACGGGCTTTATGGGAAATGTTGGAAGCGGCTTATGGGTGTAAAGAGTGGGAGTGGTCTTGAATGCTTGGGGCTGTGTTTATTTAGAATCTTAAAGCATAAAAATGACACCATTTGGCTCATTGTGCTTTCCATTTCACAAAGTGAGGTTTAAAATCCTGGAATTCCCTTCCTCTGTGGGTGTATACTTACCCCCCATAGTCTGACACCCCTGTCATCGAGTCATAGAGTCATACAGCACGGAAACAGACCCTTCGGTCCAACCAGTCCATGCTGACCATAATCCCAAACTAAACTAATCCCACCTGCCTGTTCCTGGCCCATAACCCTCAAAACCTTTCTTATCCATGTACTTATCCAAATGGCTTTTTAAACATTGTAACTGTACCCACATCCACCACCTCTTCAGGAAGTTCATTCCACACACAAACAACCCTCTGTGTAAAAACATTGCCCCTCATGTCTTTTTTTAAATCAGTGTCCTCTCAGCTTAAAAGTGTGTCCCTAGTCTTGAAATTAGGTCTAGGGGAAAAGAAACCTAGCATTAACTCTGTCTATACCTCTCATTGTTTTATAAACTTCTATCAGGTCACCTCTCAACTTTCCTATGCTCCAGTGAAAAAAGTCCCAGTCTATCCAACCTCTCCTTACAACTCAAATCCTCCATATGCAGCAACATCCTGGTAAATCTCTTCTGAACCCTCTCCATCTTAATAATATCCTTTCTGTACTGGGCGACCAGAACTGGACACAGTTTTCCAGAAGAGGCCTCACCAATGTCCTGTACAACCTCAACATGACTTCCCAACACTTCCCTACACATGTAGATCATTCTTTTTAACAAATATACTCAGTTCAATTTTGAAAGTTACAAATCAATCTCCTTTCCACTACACATTCAGATTGCCAACTCCAAATCATTATAATTTACTGTGTCAATAAACGTCTCCTCATCTCCACTATGGCTTTGTTCTGCAAAATTGCCTTCAACCTTCCCAATCTGACCATCGGCATTCCTGCTATTCAAAATAGTTCCTCCAGATTTTAAGGTTGAACAGGTTGGGTCTATACTCATTAGAGGTTAGAAGATTAAGAAGGGGATCTTGTTGAAATGTGTAAGATTCCAAACAGGCTATGAGTGTTTGCAATTCTCTACCCTAGACAGCAATGGAGGCTGGGTCATTGAATAGACTCAAGGCTGAAGTGATGAGATTTTTGATTGGCAAAGGAATCTATGTTTTGGATGCAAGTAGGGGAATTGAGTTGGTCAGGTTGACCATGATGGGAACTAGAATGGGCCATTTGGCCCAACAAGCCTGGTCCACTATGTAATAAGATTATGGCTGATCTGATTGGGGCCTTATTTTCACTCTTCTGCCTGCTCCTGATAACCTCCACCTCCCTTGTCAATCAAAAATCTGTCTAACTTCAGTCTTAAAGGTATTCAATGAGTCTGCCTCCCCAATGCTCTCTTGTAGAAATTCAAAGGCTAACAAAAATAAATAATTCCTCCTCATCTCCAACTCCGATGGGAAACCCCTTCATTTTAAACCCCAGTACTAGACTTTATCTTTGCCTTCCACCATGTCCCCCTGCGGATCTTCAGTGTTGCAAGAAGGTCACACCTCACTCTTCTGAACTCCAACGGGTGTGGACCTCAGCTGCAGAACCGTTCCCCATAAGACAATCCCTTTCATCCTAGTCAATGTGAATTTTCTCTGAACTGCTTCTAACGCAATTATATCCCTTTCCTGTGTGCAATATTGGAATTCACATTACAGGAGGGGTGTGATAGCACTGGAGAGGGTGCAGAGGAGGTTTACCAGGATGTTGCCCGGGCAGTTATGGAGAGAGAGGTTTAAGATGAGAGGGGAAAGATATAAAAGGGACTTAGGAGGCAATGTTTCAACACAGAGGGTGGTGCGTGTATGGAATGAGCTGCCAGAGGAAGTGATGGAAGCTGGTACAATTAAAACATTTAAAATGCATCTGGATGGGTACGTGAATAGGAAGGGTTTAGAGGGATATGGGCCAAAGGCGTGATGGGTCAATGTGCTGTCGAACTTTCTATGAGACCAAAATTAGACACGGTACTCCAGATGTGACCTCACTAAGGATGAAGAGAGAGTGAGAAATAATATGGGTTGGTGTTAGTGAGTGGGGCTAAACATATGTCTGTCGGGATCCTGGACAGAATTCTCCTGTTCTTCTTCCTTCAAGTATTGGCTTGGGATTCTTTGTAGGAGGTGGCGAAAGGTGCTATATAAATGCAAGTTCTTTCCCTTCTTTGTTATTGCAAGAGACCAAGAAGCTCAGTGTGAGTGATTGCCCTTTCCAGCTGCCGACATTTGAACTGAGTTATTTTGACCGTACTTAAAATAAATCAGCAATTGTGATGTGGCCTAATCCTGCTGTATGTAAAAGGTTTGAATCCCTTCTTGTATCTGTCATTTTACTGATCAGTCTGCACAGCACTAATCTGGTTATTTCTGTTGATCTCCCCTGAGTCCTTTCTAATCAATCAATAGTCATTTGAATTAAGATTGAACGCAATACACAAACCGTCTTTCTGCTGATATATTTATACAATTAATATCAGAGAACATGAGTACTTCTGACAGCTTAAAGGCCGGCAAGACATCTTGGTGAGACTTTTCATCTTTTTCTGGCAACACGTCTGTCTTTTCAACAATATTCAATTTCCCTATAATTCTTAGGACTGAAGCAATCAAAGCAAACGGGGAGAATGTGCGAACAGGGACGGAGTTGGACCATCAGATTGAATGAGCCAGCAGCCTCAAAGGTCCAAATGACCTACTCCTGGTCCTATTTTTTTATGTTTCTGTGACCCCAACCTACAAACTATGTTGTTTTATCAGCCCCTGACACAGCACAGACATTATCAGAGATGAGCCAGTTGACAATTACACATGAAATACCGACAAATCTTACGGCCACGCTGACTAACATCATTTATCCTCGGACTGCCTGACCTCTGACAATTAGGACTGATCCGCTGTTTTCTTGGACTCTCGGTCTATTTTCCTTTCATTATTCCTGCAAGCTTTCAAAACCAGCAGGACCAGTTGTGCCAGAGATAGTAGGAACTCTAGGCCTGAAACGTCAGCTTTCCTGCTCCTCTGATGCTGCTTGGCCTGCTGTGTTCATCCAGCTCTACACCTTGTTATCTAGGACAAGTTGTGCTGTGTGTTAACAGGGCAATGCATTGGGCTGTTTGCTTCGCCCAGCCACCCATACTGCCCCCACATTGGCCCCACCCCTGGTGATTCCTAGACACAGTCACAGCGATAGG